GAAAGCTGCCAAAAGCACCACTTGACATCTGGCGCTGAGAGTGACGCAAGTGACAGAAGCTAAGGGGTTGGAGAAGGAAGAGACCCTCAGGGGACCCCCATCTGAGAAGTGAGGTGGTCACACCTTACGAGCTGTCCAGAAAAAGAGGTGCAGCACTGGGTCCAGAGGGAACCAAGAAACGATGCCTGTGATGAAGGGCTGGGAGATGACCAACTCAGCTGATTAACCCAGACTGACTTCCTAGGACAGGGTAGAGATATTCGGTCTTAAACAGATCGAATAATGTCTCTTTCTCCAGAAAACCCAGTGGATGCAGAATCTATACTGAATTTCTAGCAGAAAGTTGAGGGATCAGACAGCCCCAGAAACCATCTTTATGAAGACTGAGACTTTCTGGCATGGCAGAGAGGGTCAAGGTCACCTCTGTCAGAGGCTAGGAAAGCGGAAGCTCTTCCACCAGCTCTCTTTGTCTCACAGGTTCGCTCTCACACCCAGCCTCAGAGAAACTACGTAAGGCACCAACTGTCTCATGGCCTTCCCTGGAATTCTCACAACATGGAAACTAGTGCTCTGTGAACTCCACATCCTACTTTAAAGGAAAGAGAGAATTCATCTTTGTAGATGGAACTGAGGTCTGCAAGGCCAAAGGGCCTTTCCACAAAGAGAAGATTTTCCGAGTCAGCAGCCTCTCCTACCGGGCACACCTGCCTCCCAATCACTCTATTCGCTAGGTGTCATCCCATAAAGGAAATAAAATTTCCCTTGAAGAAGGGTCTCTTGGAGAAGGACTTCCTCTGCGTGCATGTGAGAGAGGGAAAGATATAAGAGAAGGGGTGAGAATGTAATTTCGGTCGTTTGCTGTGGCATAGGTATACATCCATTCTAAAGGAGATTCTCTTCTACATTGGGTCAGCTAGAGGGACCATGGGATGTTTTTATGGGGACACTTTTGCTCTATTCTTATTTCATTAAAGCTGGAACCCAGAAAAACCAATGATAAAACAATGTTGCAAAGGCAATCGTCATTAAATGTATTGTTTTGTGCCTTTCAAAATCATGCTTACGCAAGTCCAGCCCCATCTTTTATGTTTTATTTTAAGACAGTATGGCATTCTAATCTTCTAAAACAAGCATACAAGGTCAGTTCTGTCTTATTATCTATTTTAAAGGATTATTCTCATCTCTATCTCAAATGTTTTAATACTCAAAGATGTCCTGGCCTCATACATGTCAATGCTTGAAAGCAGCAAGTAAAAAAGCTCCATGACATAAAATCAAGTTTTATTAGAATTGGTTAATTTAGAAACTATCAAATAAGGCCAGAGAGATGAAAAATCAACAATATGATAGATAAACCATATAGATGAGGCAGAAGGTCATCTGATAATTACCTTTTTTCTTGTTCTTGGTGGGTCTGGTAGAAATCCATTCTGAAAGAGAAACGAGATTAATATTATGATGGGTCTTTGTTTCTACTTTGTATTTTGGTACTTTTTCTACTTTTTTAAGCTTGGTCTTTCCAACCGCCTTCCAGATATGTCCCATCATCAACAACACACATTCAAGGTGATTTCATGGACAATAACCTTTCTCTTCAAATCTGTAACATGCTGCTCTGTGTTATCCAGACTTAGTTTAAAAGTCAGCTTTAAAAACTGCATCCTCTCTTGCTCTCCTTATAAGTTTTGCCAAGTTTTTCTTTACAACCTCTTCTTCACCCATCACTTCCTTTTTATTGCTTCCAGTGCCCCTCTACCTTGCGTCTTTATATTTCATATATTACAGCTACTGCACTGTCAGGCCCCACCAGGCCTTGGGCACACAAAGGCATACAGGCTGTTGGGAAGACCAGTGGGAAAAGCTAGCAAGGAATGGGTAAGGGGCAATAAAGTGTGAACATTGCTCTCACAGAGTATTTTGGATTCCAGAGATGGGTGAGTTTGATAGGCTGAATAATGGCTCCCAGAGATGTTCACGTCCTAATGCCCAGACCTGTGGAGATGTTAATTTACATGGTAAAAGGAACTTTACAGAGGTAATTAAATTAAGGATCTCGAAATGGGAAGATTATTCCGCTTATTTGTGTGGGGCGAATGTAATCGCCAGGGTCCTTTTAAGAGGGAGGCAGGGGGATCAGACTGAGCAGTAGGCGATGTGGTGGCAGAACAAGAGGTTGTAGTGATATGAGCAAGAAGCCATGAGCCGAGGGATGCAGGCGGCATTCAGGAGCAGAAGAAGGCTAGGGGCAGATGGTCTCTGGAGTGCTCCCTGCTGATGCCTGGACCTGAGACCAGTGAAATGGATTTCAGACTCCTGGCCTCCAGAACTGTAAGGTAACAGCTTTGTATTGTTTTAAGCCCTAGTTGTGGAAAGTTGTTACAGCAGCCAACAGAAACAAAGACAGAGAGTTTAAAGGACTTCAGAGAATGTGCTGTTTGAGCTTGGCCTTGCAGGTTGAATGGGGGTGTATCAGGCAGAAAGGCAGTGAAGGTCTTTTATGGTTCTCATGGCTTCAAGGACTCCACATATTGTGTTCTCTGATCAGAAAAATACTTATAAAGCACTATTTCCACTATGTCAATCCCTAACTCAAACCTCCCATGACCTCCCCTGTGATTAAAGGAAGGGTTCATTCTCCTTCCTTTGGCCTCAAGGCCTCTAAGGTAACCCCAGCCCAAGTAGCCAACCTCATTACGCACACTTCTTGATAAATTGTGGGGAGGATTGTCATGCCATCTTTCTTATGTAAAATGTGTTATTCTTACAATTTTGCCTCTCAGAACTATTCTTTTGACACCCGGCTCAGTGCAGACTTTTCTATGAAACTGTCCTCAGCCTCAAAGTCAGAAATAACCTCCCCTGCCCTGGGGCCCTGCATCTCTTCCTGCCGGTGCCTCTTGGTGTGCAGTCCTGTGGTTATGAATGTGCAGCCTTCTTCCTGGTTAGGGACTGGAGCTCATACCTTACAGTCCCTGTGGCTTTAGATGTATCTCAATAGATATTTGCTGAGCAAAGAGCTTTTCTTTATCATTAGAATGGCGCAAGGAAGGGCCATCTGGGGTGTGGGATAAAAAGTCAGAGGGCACAGGTGTGATAAAAAGTCTGCAACAAAGACCCAGCCCAATTTGTCCACACCAGGGGGCTGATATGAGGCCCAAAGGAGAGATATTTTAAAATGCAATTTCTTTATATTCTCTTTCAAAGATGAATTTTAGATGGCTCTCAAAAGAAATAATGTTGTAATATTCTGTAATCCAGGGAACACCCATACTGATGTATGCCACTTTATATATCAGTCCCCGAAGCCTAAGATCTTTCTCCCTGCCCCATTTAAATTACTTTCTTGTGAACGGATTACACAGTGGCAACTATTAGTGGCACAGTCAAGGTCACAATTTCCTGTCCTACCTTCAAAGGTTAGGAGTTCATACACTTAGAGGATTAAGCTGTTATAAAAGCCAGCCAAGTGGTATGTCAGTAATAACATATTCATTGTGACCAGAGCAAGGAAGGTCATGATGGTTTTCTGGACACTAGGAAATGCTGCTAAAGTTTAGAGTTGGTGAGTCGTGACACCATATCCTTGATTTAAGCCCTTTGTCATTGGCGTACCTCAATCAGGTGCTTCAGGGGCCATCCACCACAGCGCACACTCAGCCTCCAGTTCTTGGATTTCTCGTGTTTTCCTTCAATTTCAAACTCCTTGAGGGTGACCAGAGTTCCATTCTCCATCCTTATACACTTCTGTGAGATCCCTGTGAGACCAAGATAAGCTGAACTCCGTTTGTCGCCAGGGAGTGCCCCCAACCATGAACGCCCTAGAACTTGGCCTCCTAGCCTGTGGTTCTGGGCCACCCACTTGGGGCTCAGAATTGGCAACACAGGAGAGCTGAGCTCCCTGTCAGGGGCCCCACAGAAGCCTGAAAGGTGAAGGCAGAAGGCGACTTCTTGCCATGTGTGGTCTCTTCTTTGACCTTTAAGTTTAAGGACAATTATCACCAACATTTACTTCTGAAAAGCATTTCACTACATTCAAAGGAGAGAAAAAAAATGAATAGCTCTAAAGAATAAGGAGCAGGATTCTTTCCCTTCCCTTCTCTGAGACCCAGGATCAAGCCAGGCTGAATTTCAGAGGGGGCAGATGAGGACACACAGATGGCCATGTGGCAGCTGTCACCATAGCCACAACTGCCTCGTCTTGTACAACGTTGATCACCCAGCTAATGGCAATCTATTGTATCTCATATTTTGGACTCATGGCTATTTTATGTTGAAAGTAATTATGGAAATGTTATGTAGTGGGAAAAGTTAAATTACTCATGTACAGTATAGTCATAGGGCAAACACTGATACTCGTTGGTGCCTAAAGAACTATATTTTGGAAGGGGGGAATCAATCATGGCAGATGGACATTCGTACTGTACTTTAACAATTATAATTTGCAAATTATTTTGTATCTGTTATTCCATTTTTTTCCCTCATAGGAATACTACGAAGCAAGTTTTATTATTACTCCTATTTTATAGAGAAAGATGTTTAGGATGAGAGAGACAGAGTTGCTTGGCCTGGACAAAACAGGCACTCTTTGAATCCAAATCTGATTCTAAATTCTGTGCCCCTTCCAGTTAGCACAGGCCATACAGATGTTACAGAAAATGAGGCTTTGAAGTGGCTGCTGGATTTCTCAAATGTGTATATTTCCCACCCTTATACTGAAGCCCTTGCTCTTGTACTGGGTGCTGGATGGGTGTCACATGGACCTTTTCTGTGGGGGAAAATGGGAGATGGCTTGGAAGGCTAATGTTTATGAATTTTTAAAGTGTGGAAAGGCCATCTTAACTCCAGCCTATCTGGAATGCTGTGCAGACAAGAGCTACCAGACCAGACCTGAAATGCTATCTTTAGAAATGTTTGCTTTCAAGCTTGGCCTTACGCTGGCATCAAAGAACCTGGATTTTGCTGAACCCATGCTTTCCTTCTGGGAGTGTGGAATTGTGGGTTTTGCTGGTTACCTATGTGACTAAGTCTGGGTAAAAACCCTGGACTCCTAGGCTCAGGGCAGCTTCCCTGATAGATGTCATTGCACGTGTGGTATTATAATTTGTTGCTGGAGAATTAAATGTGTCCTGTGTGACTCCACTGGGAGAAGATTCTCAGAAACTGGCAGCTGGTTTCCTTGGACTTTGCCCCACATGTCTTTTTTCTTTGCTGATTTTGCTTTGTATCAATGGAATAGATCATAGCCACGAGTTTGACTGTATGCTGAGTCCTGGGAGTCTTCTTAGTGAATCAGCAAACCCAGGATGGTCTTGGAGACTCCTGACACAGGTGTCTCCTCCCCGAACAACATCTTATCCATACGGATAGTTTGCAGTTGAAAGTGTAGAAGACCAGGAAACTCACCTTGTTTTATTTTATCCTTATATAAAAGCCCCTTCGCCTGACCACAGGTCACGGAGAGTATAGGAGGTTGAAAATCCATATTTTCATCTTTGGGAATTCTTGGACCTGCAGGGAAGCATTATTATTATTTTTTATTTCATCTTTCTTCTACAATGGTGCCCTCTTTTCTCCTTACCCATCTTGAGATCTTTCTTTTGCAACTTAAAAGGTTTTGAAGGAAAATTCCCCACACAGTAGTTACATTTCTAGGTCTTTCTCTTATGGCAGAGTAGATACAGAGAGATAATGTCATCTTCCATTCCCATCCTCTGAAACCCTACATAAAAGCCTTGTGTGGAAGGCTCTGTATTCCCAAGCTTGTTGGCCACAACCCCCTACTGCACAGTGATTTCCTCCTCCTGTTTTTGAGGAAGATTTCTAATTATATTATTGTTTCAAAGTTATGCAGATGGAGAAAAACCCCTCGATTTTTAGTTTTGTCTCCCCATTTGAGGCATCCACCGGGGAACAGAGAGCAGGATGGCAATGGGGCAATCCAGCAGGGGCAGTGCCTGTCTTCTCTTTGTGCCCTCTGCTTTGTTTCGTTTCTCCTTCATGTGAACTTTCTCTGTGGCTTTCCTCTGTGACACTCAGGGCGGGTGCTCTAGCAGAAACTGCAAATTGCTCAGGAAGAGGCCTCTGCACATCCTTTGGGCAGGGGCACTGGGCTCTGATTCTGCTGAAGCAGGTGTTGAAAGTCTTGAGATGAACTTCAGCAGCAGGAGCGCCTGCTCACGCCCTTCTGGCCAACACTGAGGGATGCTCATTAAAGACACACTGAGGCTTTTCTCTGAGATGGGGAGGGTGGGCTCTCCATGGTCCTTTCAGAGTCTGTTCTGTTAGGGCTGGGGTGGGCCTAGAAATCCATTCAGTCTGATTTGTCTGCCACCCACCCATTTACAGAGGAGAAAATGGAGGCAAGAAAAGAACGAATATCAAACCGAAATCAAAGGAAGTTTAGGGATTAGGATACAAGTCCTGTACTATCACCCTGGGTCCCCCTTGTTGGGTAACCTGTGGCTCTCTACGTGAGAAAGAGAAATTCAGCTAAACAGCACATGAGTCACACACTTTATATTTCCCTTTTTAGAAGTTATCAGTGTAGTGAAGGGAGACCTGCACAGGCCCAAGGAGGTGTGGGCTCTCTCACAGATCAACTGGCTGAAATCAACAAAGTGAGTGTTACCATCATCCTGTCATGTTGTCAAAATTGACCAAGGCAGATGAATATCCTAATGTTTGTTGCTGGCTCTATAAGCCATTTAAGAAAATTGATTGATCGCTCAAAACACAGAGTATAAAATAAAAATTTAGATGCTTTAATTATTTAAAGTATATTAATAACTTATTTTTACCTCTTTTTTTGCCTCTTTTCAAAGGCCCAGCATTGACTGGTTTTCTCCCTGTGGTAAAAAACAAACGAACATAAATATCTCTTGTTTATAACATTGCATTGCAAGTAGTAGTGTTTTACGAAAACACTATTCAAATGAAAACTTTTCAGGAGCCGGTCTAGTACTTCGATAAAAAATATCAAATCCCTAGATCAGGAGTTAGAAACTTTACTCTGGAAAGGGCCAGGTAGTAAATATGTAAGGTCCATGACCTTATGTAACATTATTAGTCAACTCTGCTGTTGTGTTGCTAAAGCATTCATAGGTAATACAGAGATAAAAAGATGAGGCTGTGGCTATGTTCTAATAAAACTTTATTTATAAAACATTTAGTGGGCTGGATTTGCTTTGTGGGCCATAGTGTGCTGAACTCTAGCCTAGACGTAGTTATAAAGATGACACTTAACTGAGATTCATTCTATATTTCTTTTATTAATATCTCCAGATCATTTCAAATAAATTTAAAACAGGGCTTTATGTGTTTCCTAGGCAACAGGGTGAGATGAAAATAAAGTTAGACATCAGTTGAGTGTCCATTGTGTGCCAGGAACTAGCCTTAGACTTTGCCTCTATTAATCTTCATCCTTAGAACAAATTGATCAAATAGGGACTAATACTATCCTCATGTGCACAGATAAAGTAGAAAATAAATAAGGTATTGAAAATTTCCTTTGATAAAGTAACTGATAAAAGCTAGTGATATATAGTCTCAAGGAAGACCTCATGGTGGACTCTACCGATCAGATAGCTGCCACAAGCCTAAACTTGAAAGTTGATTTTTGTACTGAAAATAGTGCAAGGACTCCAAAAGTAACCCAGTGAAGGGAAACTTATATAAAATGATGCCAATGGTGACCAAAGAATTGGCCACCATGCAGCTACTAAGAGATGGTAAAATATATTGCTTCTACTATACTAGTGGGAATAGGAAGCTTCTAGCCAAATCCTCCTACCGCCTGGTTTCATGGCCAGAGAAAGAGTTTTTGACTATAACTTATCTATAATTTGACAGATCGATCTATAGATTTGAGCCAGGGACTGGCCTAGTGGGAAGCAGGATCACAATGAAACAGCCTAACAAGAGACAGTGTCTGTCTTATCTGCTTCTTTCACTTCACAGCAGCTTTCTCCTGGCTGAACGGGAAGCTCGGTGGAGTTCTAGAGTCATCTACAAATTGCACAGGGAGGAGGCTTTGCATCTTAGAACCTTTGCGTGGTGGAGAGGTGGAGAGAGAAACTGAGACTCTGACTCTATAGAAACAGATGTAAAAGTCTTAAAATGAACTTCAGAATGATGAGGTGCTGTTCCTGCCCTTCTAGCCAGTGATGTTGGAAATCTATTAAAAATTTGGGGAATCAATTAAACATACTCCTTGAGCTCCCTGTTCAGAATGCAGAAGATGTGGGAAATCTGTTCACTGGGAGATCTACAAGACGCAAAGCTGTATATGAGGCTGGGACGGGCCTTGGAGGGCAGTCGGTCTATTTATTATTATTACTGTTTGTTATTATTTATCTCACTTTATTTTACTTTACATATGCATAAACTGAAACAGAAGAGGTGAAGCACCAGACCCGAGCCCATGCGATAGCCTCAAGGTAGTGGGACATGAAGAAGGACGACTATGTCACTTGTGAGTTGCACAGTGTTTTATGGTTTACTACAGATGGCCCTTAAGCAATGCAGGGGTTAGAGGGAGACCACCCTCCATGCAGTCAAAAATCTGGGTATAACATTTGACTCTACAGTTGGCCCTTTGCACATGCAGATTCAACCAACCTCAAATAAGAAACAGTAATTTTGATCTGCATTTGGGAATCTGTGGTTGAGAATATGAGAATACTGTTTCGATCACAGATGGTTGAATTCTTATATGTGAAACCCGAAAATCACTCAGGTGGATAGGAAGGGCCAACTGTATTTATTGGAAAAATTCTGTGTATAGGTGGACACATGTAGTTCAAATCTTTGTTGTTCGAGGATCAACTATATTTTCAGCCTGGAAAGTTACCAGTTCAGCAGAGACATCACTGCAATAACCCCTCGGCCCCAGGTTCTGGTTGTAGATTCATCACCAAATTACTTGTTTGTGGAATTATCAACTTTCAATCCCTGATGTGTCTTGGAAATTTATTAAATCTGATATATTTCTCAACAGTTAGTACAGTTACATAAAACAAATAGCTAAATAGCTTTGTTACTAAAAGCAAAGAACAAAGCATGAGAATTTAGATGTTTAGTTACTGAAAATGCATCTGACTTTTAAGATTTTACCTCTTGGTTTGCCTCTTTTATGTGGGAGTCTGTTATTCAAAGTTTGAATTCCATGTCTGCGTTTCTTTTTCACTGAGAAAACAGAAAAACAAATGCTGTGAAAAGTTGAATTCTATATGATATTGCTTTTTAAAACTTCCATTTTACTATAACTTTTCAAGACCTTAACACATAAAGAAAAATATATAACCTATAGCCTGTACTTACCAAGCCTTAGATGTCTAACCTGGGTTCATCCTAGATTTCTTTGCCCTCACATTAATCCTAATTCATTTACACCCACATTAATAAAAAAAATTTAAGACAGAGTTTCATTTGTATCTGAAGGAACACTCTGAGTTGTTAAGTGCTTATTATGTGCTAGACACAAATGCAAGACCCTTACATCTACTAATCTATTTATGAGATAGAGACTTTTACTATCCCCATTACCAATGAAGAAACTGAAACATCCAGAAATTTAAAAAATTAAGTATAGCAATGCAGATTTCTTTGGTTGAGAGGCAAAAATCAATGGCAGCCCTAAATGAAGGCTTTTGGGCTGAAAATATAGTGAAAGTTACCACATGAATTTGGACTAAAAATTAGGGTCTAAGAAAATAACCAAGAATATATTACCTAAGGGATATTTGTAGAAATAAAAGTTGAAAGGTTAAAAAGAAGAAAGTACAATAGGGTAAATATTCCTCAGTTGGAGAAAAAGGAGAATTTCAAGTCTTAGAAAGCCTCAGAGTTGGAAATGTCAAAGAAGAGTTGGTTGAAACCCTATCTCAGGTGAATATGCTCTCAGATTCAGCAGGCAATAAGGTGTGGGTGGAAGAACAATGAGGCGTATACACGTAGATCTCCTGAGTGCTATGTTCATACATGTTGCTCTCTAAGGCAGAACCATGAAGTGCTCACTCTTCCATTCCTCTCCATCTCTCTCTCTCCATCTCTCTCTCTCTCTCTCTCTCTCTCTCTCTCTCTCTCTCTCTCTCTCTCTCTTTCTCTTCAATCTTTGCTCTTCTTATTCTCTTGATAATTATGCTAGGAGATGTCGGAAACCATTTGGTAACTGTGATTCTCTCTCTCTCTCTCTCTCTCTCTCTCTCTCTCCAGTTCTGCAGGGGAACTTCAATTTGGGCTTGTTCAGTGATAGACATCTTAGACAGACACATTCTCTTTTTATGTCCCTCTATGTCTTTCTCTGTTATTGTTGGATTCACTTTTAATTAAACCTGTTGAGGCCATATGAATTAAAGGTATAAAAGCAGCAGTCTAGCTCAACTTACCAGAGCTCTCCTTCCTGGGAGATTTGGGGTTTAAGACCTACTAACAATGCAGAACTACTGGACTTTTCTTGCTCAAATACCACATAAGAAATAGAATAACTGTTCATGGGTCCCCTGTTCAAATACTGTTGGTACCACAGATTTTCTATAGAAGTTGTGTAAGGTGCTCCCTTATCCTTCAAGGCAAGTGAGAAGGCTTCAGCTTCAGGTAATTAATCTGTGTCTCCAGGAGTTTATAGGAGGCAGAAACATTTAAAATCTCAAGCCTGGAAAGTCTACAGAGGATGACTATTTTGGGAGCCAGCTACATGCTCACTGACAGTAACGCTGTGAAGAGGCATGATTCTCATGGGCCTGTCTGGAGAAGGCAGGAGCGCATTAGTTCTTCTTAAGAGATAGTCTTTCCAGGAGGACCATTTAGATGAATGAGATGTAGACCTCTTTGGGGCTGGGAGACTAAGAGGGAAGTGGTAAGCAGTCAGCTGGAGTCCTTGTATTAAGGGAACTTCAGTTGAAAGATACTCTCTAAAGAGGGAGTCTCTGAAGAACCCACAAATGTAGCTCATGCATTCACCATATCTGCGGGGAGGGGGGGGATCTATTATAAGATGACCGTATCTGCACCTTACCACTTCCTTCTCTCCTTCCTCCCCAAACTTGAATTAGCCTAAAGCAATAGATACTGACTGGAGATAGAGAAGAAGCGTGGATGAGAGAAGAGCTTGGCCGTGCCCAGCTATCACATCTGGACTCTCTGATGAAAGAGAAACAAATTATGTGATTTAAGCCACTGTATTTTGGGATATCTTTGTTACGATGACTCAGTTTATATTCTAAATAACCCATTACTTATGATGCCCACAGGAGATTTGGGAGCCGTGGCAAAGACAGGGTGTGGCAGGAAGATCAAGCGTACAGTAAGTTCACAGGTATGAATCCTCACATTTATTCTTACCTTTGTGGAGACTCTTTATTTTACATGTATATCTTTTCTTTTCTCCTTCAAACAGAAAAGAATCATTTAGAATTATAAATAAAGATTTACAAGCTTTATATGTCAGTAACCTTCGATTATTTTATTTTTAGGTCTTCATTCAACTTTTGTGGGGATAAATCCCCAGCTACCAACGTACCATCTTGGTTGTCACCACACTGAAAACAATAATAGCAACAAAATAACCTAGATTTACACAGCACCAGCCATTTACAGTATGCTTTTCCGTAGTTACATGAGGTTTTCTCATTCACAATAAGGAAAATGTAAAAAGCAGCTGAAATCAGGCAGAAGGTGACAGCAAAAGAGAGGGAATGTCCAGGAGGTGAGGGAACGGTAGATTTTAGACATCACCAGAAAATTATACACCCTGGAATTCAGAGGCTTGCTTTGGAAAGCTAAAGCTCTAATCCATGTTTATAATAGCCAGAATTTAAGAAATACATACAAGAAAAGATCTATCGGGAAAATGAAGACAAATTTAGAAGGAGAATAAAGGAGACTAGATGTTTCATAAATTAGAGTGAAGGACATAGATTATAGAAAGTAGAAAAGGAAACGAGGAAGTTTCAGAACAATTAAGAAAGGTTAGAGAGGAAAATAATCAAAAAGACAATGAACAATTCAGTAGAGTTCTTAAAGAAGAAAATCAAAATAATAGAAGAAATACGTGAAGATAAATTTAAGAAAAATGCTTTTGAAATTATAACAATAATTGAATACACATACATAAGTAAATATATTTTCACCTTGTACAAAAGGAAACTGACTCTAGTCAACCCTGAGATATAGTCTAGCAAATTTACTGAACTTTAAAGACTAAAAAAAAAAATAGAAGAGAAAGACTAGGTAAAAAGATCAAGTCATATTTTCAAGGGAGAGGGATCTTATTGGCTCTAGAATTTTCCACAGCAAGATTTAATGCCACAGGAAGGTGGAAAAAAACCTACGAAATACTTCTAGAAATAATGAGTGAGAAAATTATTTCACAGATATAAATAACAAAAACAAGTACTTTTGAATAGGAAAAATTCGGGAAATATTTTTCCTATGGGTCCTTATTGAGAAAACTCCTAGAGAATCCACTTTAGCAAATTAACACAGGACTGGAAAATTTTTGAAATTTTTATTTTAAAATAAAAGTGGTGAGTGAAGTGACAAACCAGAATGTTAAACATATATGCCATGAAATGATATAATAACAAAAAATAAGTGGGAGGAAGAGAGAAATATGGGTGGTAGAACAAGGTCCTTGTCTGTTTTATGGCTAGGAGTCATAGAGTGTTATTTGGGCAAATCAAGACGTATGGGCATGTCTTGTTTTTTGCACTTTGTTTTATTGTACTTCACAGATGGTTTTTTTGGTTTGTTTTTTGTTTTGTTTTGTTTCACAAATTGAAGGTTTGTGGCCACCCTGCAATGAATAAGTCTATTGGCACCATTTTTCCAATTTGCAATTGCTCATATCCTGTCTCTGTGTCACATTTTGGTGATTCTCACAATATTTCAAAATTTTCATTATTATTATTTTGTTATGGTGGCTTGTGATCAGTTATATGTGATGTTACTATTGTAATTGTTTTGGGGTGCCATGAACCGCACCCATATAAGAGAGTGAATTTACTTGTTATTGTGTGCATGCCGACTGCTTCACCAACTGGCCGTTCCTTCATCTCTTGCCCTCTCCTTGGCACTCCCTATTCTCTGAGACACAACGACATCAAAATTAAGACAATTAATAATCCTATAATGGCTCTAAGTACTCAAGTGAAAAGAAGAGTCAAACATCTCTTGCTTTAAGTCAAAAGCTAGAAATGATTAAGTTTAGTGAAGAAGGCATGTCAAAAGCTGAAACAGGCTGAAAGCTAGGCCTCTTGTGCCAAACAGTTAGCTAAGTAAATGCAAAGGAAAAGTTCTTAAGGAAATTTAAAGTGCAACTCTAATGAACACACAAATGATAAAAAAGCAAAACAGCCTTATTGCTGATATGAAGAAAGTTTCAGTGGTCTAGATAGAAGATCAAACCAGCCACAATACTCCTTTAAGCCAAAGCCTATTCCAGAGCAAGGCCCTGCTCTCTTCAATTCTGAAAAGGCCAAGAGAGGTGACGAAGCTGCAGAAGAAAAGTTTGAAGCTAGCAGAGGTTGGTTCATGAGGTTTAAGGAAAGAAGCCATCTCTATAACATAAAAGTGCAAGGTGAAGCAGCATGTGCTGATGTAGAGGCTGCAGCAGGTTATCCAGAAGACTTAGCTAAGATAATAAATTAAGGCGACTACACTAAACAACAGATGCTCAATGTAGACGAAACAGCCTTCTTGATGTTGGAAGAAGATGCCACCTAGGACTTTTATAGTTAGAGAGGAAAAGTCAAGGCCTGGCCTCAAAACTTCAAAGGACAGGCTGATGCTCTTATTAGGGGCTAATGCAGCAGGTGACTTTAAGTTGAAGCCAGTGCTCATTTACTTTTCTGAAAATCCAAGATTCTTAAGAATTATGCTAAATCTACTCTGCCAGTTCTCTATAAATAGAACAACAAAGCCTGGATGACAGCACATTTGTGTACAACACAGTTTACTTAATATGTTAAGCCTACTGTTGAGACCTACTGCACAGAAAAAAAAAATTCTTTTAAAATATTACGACTCATTGACAATGCACTTGGTCACCCAAGAGCTCTGATGGAGATGTACAATGAGATTAATGTCATTTTCATGCCTGCTAACACACCATTCATTCTGCAGCCCATGGATCAAGGAATAATTTTGACTTTCAAGTGTTATTATTTAAGAAATACATTTTATAAAGCTATAACTGCCATAGATAGTGATTCCTCTGTTGGATCTGAGCAAAGTAAATTGAAAACCTTCTGGAAATAATTTACCATTTTAGATGCCATTAAGAACAGTCTTGATTCATGGGAAGAATGAATATGAACATGAATAGGAATTTAGAAGAAGTTGTTTCCAACCATCATGGATGACTTTGAGAGGTTTAAGACTTCAGTGGAGGAAGTAACTGCAGATGTGGTAAAAATAGCGAGTAAACTAGAACCAGAAGTGAAGCCTAAATATGTGACTGAATTGCTGCAATCTCACGATAAACCTTTAATGGATGAGGAGTTGCTTCTTATGGATGAACAAAGAGAGTGGTTTTTTGAGATGGAATCTCCTCCTGGTGAAGATGCTGTGAAGATTATCGGAATGACAATAAAAGATTTAGAGTATTACATAAACTTAGTTGATGAAGCAGTGGCAAGTTTTGAGAGGATTCATTCTATCTTTGAAAGAAGTTATACTGTAGGTAAAATGCTATCAAACAGTATCAGATTCTACAGAGCAATTGTTTTTGGAAGGAAGACAATCAATGTGGCAAACTTCATCGTTGTCTTATTCTCAAAAATTGCCAGTTACTCCAACCTTTAGCAACCAACACCCTAACCAGTCAGCAGCTATCAATATTGAAGCAAGACTTTCCACCAGCAAAAAGATTATGACACACTGAAGCCTCAGATAATGCTTAGCATTTGTTAGCAATAAAGTATTTTAAAATTAAGATACGTAAATTTTTTAGATAATGATATCGCACATTTAATAGGTTGCAGTGCAGTCTAAACATAACTTTTATGTGTACTGGGAAACCAAAAAATTTGTATAACTCGCTTTATTGTGATATTTGCTTTATTGTGGAGGTCCGGACCAAACTAGTGGTATCTCCAAAGTGTGCCTGCAGTACTTTTTTTCCGAACTAACATTGCAAAGTCTGTATTTTTTGCCATGTGGCCACTGAAGTCTCTGCTCAGTTAGTCAGCTAGTGATTGGAAAGAGATTTCCTTAAATACCTAGAACTCATAAGTCTCTTAGTCTTTGCCAAGGGGCTTCACGCATGTATTGATGTAAGCTAGGCAGTTCAAAGCTTCATCTTAGTTCTCACTTCCTGCTTGCACAGAGCTGCAAGGCCAGCCAGAGGTGATAACTCAGGGCTTTCTTAGGTCTTTCCTGAGTGTGTGCACAGCCCTGGGTAGGTGTACTTCCCTAGTCATGTGTGTAGGCTTCTAGATGGTGAGGAATATGTTGGAGCTTTATATATAGGTACATATCTACACTCTATATATTACATATAATATATAGTTATGTATATAATATATAGTTTTACTAATATACTATATATTTATA